TGAAAATTAGGAAGGGTGAGTCACCGAACTTGGTCTTCTTCAAAGTTCTTCTAAGTCTACTGCATTGTCCAATAAGCTTGTCAATTTCTAAAAAGCCCTGCTGGGAATTTTATCGAATCTATCTATTTGGGAGAGGATTGGCATTTTAACAACTCCTGAACCTTTGATCCATGAACACATTCTCTCCATTTATGTATTTATGTAAGTCTTACTTTAATTTCAGCAAAATTTTTAGTTTTTAGCATACAGGTCCTATAAATATGTCCCTAAGCATTTTATACTTTTGATGCTATTGTACACAGTTTTGTTTAAGTAGGCTCCACACCCAGCGTGGAGCCAACACAGGGCTTCCACTCAAGACCCAAAGCTAAGGGACGCTTGGAAGCATCTGCCTTCGGCTCAGGTCATGATCCCAGGGTCCTGGGATCGAGTCCCACATCGTGCTCCCTGCTCAGCGGGGAGCCTGCTTCTCCCTCTCCCTCCCCCCCCCCCGTGCACACGTTCTCTCTCTCCCTCAAATAAAATGTTAAAACAAAGCAAAAAAAACCCCAGAAAACCCAAGCCAAGACCTGAGCTGAGATCAAGAGTTGGATGCTTAACCAACTGAGCCACCCAGGTACTCCACATGGTATTTTTAAACTTTGCTTTCCAATTGTTTGGTGCTAGTACAGGGAGCCACATCTGATTTTGAACTATACTGACTTGTATCCTGCAACCTTGCTAAATGCACTGATAGCACTGATTCCTTAAGATTTTCCACAGACATATGTTTGTCTGCAATAGATAAGTTTTTGTTTTTTCCTTACTGCACTGGCTAGATCCTCCAGTGCAACGTGGAACAGAACTGATTAGTGAGCATTTTCCTTGTTTCCAATCATTAGGGGAAAGCTTCCACTCCATCAATAACTATGATATGAGCTAATGGTTTTGGGTATTTTCCTTCTATTCCTAGATACACAAAGTTTTTATAAAAGGATGCTAGACTTTGGCAAGTATTTTCCCTGTATATACTAAGACAATCATGTGTTTTTTCTGTAGTTGTTCACATGATGGATTACACTGATGCATTTTCAAATGTCAGATCAACCTTGTACTTCTAGGATAAACTCACCTGGTTAGGATGTATTACTCTTTTTTTTTCCCCCCCAAAGATTTTATTTATCTGAGAGAATGAGAGAGCACGAGAGGGAAGAGGGTCAGAGGGAGAAGCAGACTCCCTGCTGAGCAGGGAGCCCAATGTGGGACTCGATCCCGGGACTCCAGGATCATGACGTGAGCCGAAGGCAGATGCTTAAGCAACTGAGCCACCCAGGCGCCCCTCATTTGCTAACTTTTTAAAAGAATTTTTGCATCTGTGGTTAATGAAAGGTACTGGTCTGTAGTTTTGTCTGGTTTTGATATTGGAGAATGCTAGCCTCATACAATGTGTCGAGAAGCATTCCCCCCCTCCCCCTTTCACCTTCTGAAGACTCTAGGTAAAACTGCTATTAATTCTTCCTTTTCCTTGGAATTCACCAGTGAAGCCTCTGGGCTGGAATTTTCCTTATGGGAAGGTTTTTAAATACAAATTTAATTTCTTTAGTAAATATAGGGCTATTCTAATTAGCTCTTCCTTCAGGGACTTTTGGGGCTTTTAAAGAGTTTGCCCATTTCTTCTAAACTGTCAAATTTACTGCCTGAAAGTTGTTCACCATTCTCCTAATGCCCTTTGACCATTGGTAAGATCTGTAGTGCTGTGCTCCATTTCCTCCTGGCTTCCTCTTCCCTACACTGCGGCTTGGGAACTCTCCTGGCAGTAAGCTGACGCCACCACAGGGATCACCTTGCCCTGTTTTCCCCTCCCTCAAAAATCACTGTCCCATGCTGCCTGTTATCCAATGTCTGAAAATCACCGTTTCATGTATTTTGTCCCATCTTTTAGAGAGCAGATATGGCCCCTATCATTTCATCATGCCCAAGGACAGAAGCCTTTTATTTTTTATTACGGAAAATTTCAAACATACATGAAAGTAGAACAGTATAGTAAACCTTCATATATCTATCATCCAGCTTCAACAATTCTAAACTCAAGACCAAGACAGTGTCATGTATACTCTCTCTAGGCTCCCTTCTTCCCCGGAGGATTTTGAAGAAATTCCAGACATTCTATTTTCTTCATAAATATTACAGCATGTTATTTCTGACTTAAAAAAAATCCATAACCACATTATCAAACCTAAAAATACTGTCAATGAATTCTAATATTATTGAGTCAGTATTCAAACCTTTTTTTTTTTTACAGTTGGTTTGTTCAAACTGGGGTCTAAATTATGTCCATTCACTGTATTTGGTTAATATATTTTTTTAAGTTCTTTTTAACTTAATTAGGTTCTCTCTCCCCTTTTTCCTTTTCTTAGATAATGGCACTATCCAGTAAAGTAGGCACAAGTCATATGTGGCCGTTAAGCACTTAAAGTGTGGCCAGTATGACTGAGAAACTAAATTTTTAAATTAATTTAAAATTAAAAACCACTACTCCAGCTATTAGAAAATGTTTAGTTAGAACAACTTGGGTACATGAATTTACTTTTTCAACTGTAAGGTTTACAAAATCAAAATAGGATCAAATATTTCTGATAATTTATCATCTAAATTGAGATCTAATTATAATTCTGAAGCCTTGAAATTGGTAGTTTCAGGGCAGTGGCTCTGAAATGGGAGCAGTTTTGCCCCCCAGGGTCCATCTGGCAATGTCATCATATCATCACAAGTGGGGAGGGGTGTACTGCTGGCGTCTAGCAGGTGAAAGCCCGAGATGCCATGTTTAAACACTCTCCAGCGCTCAGGACCGCCCAGCAGTACAGAATCCCCCAGTGTAAAATGGTGGCAGCGCCGAAGTCGACACAGCCTGTGCCAGAGGCTTAATCAGTTTGAAATTTTTTCACAAAATAACTTGATGTTATGTCTTTCCGTGGGTATACATATAAATATCTGGTTATTTTGTGATGTTAGCAGCTAATGTGATCCACTGATTGATCAGCAGCTGCAAAGTGGTGGTATTCTATTACTATAATCGCTTCTGCATTTATTATCTGAAAGGCTTCAGAACTTTTTATTCTAAGTATTACATTTTTCAAAATAATGAGCTAGTTCTCCAATATCCTCCAAAGGTGACCAATATTAGTATTTTTTTAAGTATCATCAAGATTTCATAAATATAGATACTTTTGATATTTTGGATCTCTGGGATTAAAAAAAAAAAATCCCTTGGGCTCTTTGTCCTCTTATTTAAACCTTTCTCAATCTCTTATAGAGGTATCTCTCACATTCTGTACCATATTGGAACCTGGAAATAATCCTTTTTTAAAAGATGAGTTACATCCTTTTATACTTAATGACAAGATTGATGTTTGGCCTTAGTTCTGCCACTCTGTCATATTTATTTTTGTGGCATCTATGTATATAAATATCTAATCTTTGGTGATATGATGTGTTTTATCTTCCTCTCCTTTTCTTTGTGTATCTTTTGGTAATTAGGAAAATTTGCACAAAGACGTTATATAATGTCCTATGTCCTTTTATATCTTTTTGGGAATACTGTCTGTTGATTCCCACTATAAACAATATTGAAATTCTCCCTTATTTCTGCCTCCCAAAGCACCCACTTTGAAGTAATATCCTTTTATTTCCTGATAATACCTATCAGACAATCAGGAAGTATACTGTATTTAAGGTCTATGGTCTCTTCTCCTGTTTTTAGTGCTGGGTGCCAGCTACACTGGCAGCCTGAGAACCATGGATGACCAGTTTTACCGTGCCCTTCGTCTACCCCCTGGTTCCAGTTCTCAGGAAGCAGCGTGCTTCTGCAACGTGGTTTAGTCTGGCTTGGGAGTTCACAGGACGTGTACCAGCACAGCACCATCCAACCTTTTCAGAGCCTACAAAGTCGCCTCCCAGTTTCAGCACCCCCTCCCCTTACCACATACTCACTTAGAACATGCTAGTCATGCTGTTGCTGGCTTCCTCTTACCCACTGACATTCGAGAGTTCATACATGTTGTGTAATAAAGAATTAGACCTTGGCCCCTGGTTTTTGGGGAAGGAGACTCTGAAACCCTAGGACTTTTCTGAGTGATAGGTTACTCGCAAGCCCGCCCCTTGGGTCATACATACGTTTAAGCTTAGGAGATGACTCCAGAGGGGAAGGGACAATGCCAGAAAGACAAATCATGTGAGCAGAGTGTTGGGGCACTGAGTCCGAGGATTATCTCGACTTATATTTGAGCCTTCCAGGCAGCAGGGCTAGAGACTGAAGGGCAGGCTTGCTGAGGACTGTGCCCTTAACTTGAACGGTCTACTGCTACCATTGGGTGGTTAGTGGGGGAGCAAACTGTAGTACACCAACGGGGCTACTTTGAAATTTAGTTTGTTGTATATGTTGTCCGTGGGTTTGTGGTTGTTAGCCTACTTGCTCTTCTATTTTTGGGAAAGGATTTGGAAGACTCAAAAATGTGCCACTGTCACTAGCACTTTGTCGCCAGTTCTTTGGGATTTTCGTTAACTTTAGTGCATCGCATTTCACCCCCTGCACACTATTTTAACATTTATCCTTTCATAGATCGATATTAACAGAAAATTAAATCACCAAAACTGTACACTAAGGCCACTCTTGGTGATGACTGTAACTCATCTGCAGTTTGTTTTACAAGATGTACAAACTGCAGTAAAAGCTACTAGCTGCTACCTCTTGACAGTGTGACTGTAATTTATATGGGTTAACAGGAGACTCTGCCCGTCAACTGACTACGTAAGATACTCTAATTATTACCGTACCTCCCCCAATCAAATTACATAAAATGCACAGTACAGTGTTTCAAATAATGCTTCCTCATCCACAAAATGCATTACATTTATAAACTAAAGAGCATATAACAAAATGCATATTCCAAGTGATGATACAGGTTTTCATACTGGTCTGAGGCTAGACCCCCATCATAAAAAAATAAAAGCAAAAATTGTACCTCTGTGACACGGAGTTGTGATGAAGCAGCCATGTAATCAGATTCTAATTTGTTCTTCTCAGAGATCACTGTAGTATTTTGAAGAATTAAATCAACTTTTTGAATATGCAAAGAAGTACAAATCTAGGAACAAAAACCCCTAAAAGTTTAATTTGTTTGACAAGAAAAAAAAGTTTTTAAAAATTAATAAACCATGAGAAAAACATTTTTCTAATGCGACTGATATCTCAAATAGTTCTTTTTACAACTATTTCTTACAAGACAATTTTTAAATGTTTTTCTGTGTGTTTAATTGAATCACCTGGAATATAATACCTTAGTTTAATGAGTGCTTTTAACCAGTTTACTGACCTATAATGAAAAATGTCAAAGCTAAAATTATTAATAAACTCTTAGCAAGAGTTTTTTAATTTATTTACTTATCTACCTGCTATAAAAAAAGTGACTAAAATTAAGAAAATGCCTTACCTTTACAAAGTTTGTTAATTCAGTAACAAGTTTTGCTTTTTGAACATTTATTTCTTTGATTTTGGTACTTGCTTTTCGCTCTTCCTCTTCAAGGTTGCAAGTATCCTGTTCCATCAGCTTTAAACTGTACGAAACATATAATGATGTAGAAATCAGAGTTAACACAAGGTTTGAGCCCAAATGTTTAGGTCTCCTGCTGTTTGATGGGCTTTTTAATAATGCTACTCAGACATAAAAACTACTAGCTTCTAGATTAAATAATCTTGTTATGTAACCACTCAGGATCAAAAAGTATTTGTTGAGATATTATGTGCCCAGCACAGTTTAAGTAATGATAGTGGTAATGGTGTAGGATCTGGAATCAGAAAGATGGGTTTGAATTTCCTCTTGCCACTAATGAGCAGTATAACTAGATAAGTTACTCTTCTGAACTTTAGTTTCCTTATCTATAAATTAGAAAAAAATAATAGTACTTCCCCTATACGGCCATGATGAAAACTTAAAAAAGGTAAAATATGTAACACACTTAAGTACAGTGCTGGGCCTTTAAACCAATGGATGAATATTAGTTACTAACCATCGTTGTTAATGTTGTTTACACATAGTCCCTTACCTAAGGCAGCTTAACTGGGGAGATTTGATTAACAGATTAAAAATATATAGTGAAAAGACAATACAACCCTAAAAGTTACTACTATTTTGCTATTCAAGGTGAAGAAACTAAGGATCAGAAGTTAAGTTACCTAAGATCACGCATAGTACATGGTTAATATGGGTTTGACACCAAAGTCCAAGTTCTTTCCACCCCACTATGTTGCCTCCACGATAAAATCAAGAACCCAGTTTGGAAACACTAATACACAAGAATGAACAAGTTGAGCAGATGCTGCAGAGAGGGGCCTGAACAGTACACGGAAGAGAGTGAGTAGGAGAGGCCAGGGAGGTGAGGTGAAATGGGTCGAGTGAAAGGAGACTACAAAAGGTTGAAATTCAGTCTCAAGGAAAGGAATTTTGTAACTAGAGGTGATTAACTCTAGGTAGGAGACAGCAGGCTGGTGATGGTTATGAAAGGCCCTTTCACTACAAAAATCCACATTACTTATGAAGAGAGTTTGGTTTTAGACAATGGGTCCAACAGGAGAGCCGAACAGGAAAGGTTACGTGTCTTGTAGTTGATGAAAGATGGGAATGAGGCCAAAGCTGAAGGCTGAAAGGAGGCTTGGAGATGAAAACCCAGGCAGCTAGACTAAAAAGTAGGTTTAAGCAACCAAGGTACATTATTACCTTTTCACTAATAGTAAATGGCCAAATGTTTACTTAAAAACAACAACAACAAACCAGTAAAGAACAAATTCTCTTAATGCATTTCACATATGATTCAATTTAGGAATGTGCTTAAAAACACATACTACATTAGGTCAAGGTAATCAGATACCTTAACTGAAGGCAATAAGCAGTCATTTATGATCAAAGATTGACTATGCCATTAATATCTAAATCTTTATAGGGAAAAAAAAATCACAACAAAAAGGTCTGAGATAGGCCATGGGAAAAACCTCTGAACTGGAAGCCATGTTCTTTCCCCCTAGAATGAACACCCTAATAGCTTTTACCCCCTCCTACATATCCTAGTTTCTACAAAATATCCAAATGCAATAAAACATATAATCAGTTTTAAGAAAGGTTGCCTGGGCACTCACAGTAAGCTAGTTTTCCTTCAGGATAAGATTTAGACTACTCACATCTTTGTATAAAATTCTGTGGACTGTATGACCGCTAAGGCTAAGCAGATATACTTCCAATTGTAACAAGGGATATTACAGTTGGAGAGTGGGATAAACCCCCAACGCCCACTCTCTTCTGTGAAAATCAGCATATCTTCCCCCTTTCCTATCACACCCTTTCAGAAGTGGTGAGAAAACGCACAGCCTAATGGTCTGGATTGATAATCTCACTGCCTGTACCTCTCCCACCAATCCAGATTCAGCGGACCCATTATTCCGGTTATGTGTCTGGGTCAGTCATTCTCAAAGTGTGGTCCAGAGGCTGTGGGGATCCCTGAAACCATTTCAGGGGAATCATAAACTATTTTCACTGTTGTAAGAAGACCTCAACTGCCCCGTTCACTGCAGTGATGTTTGCACTGATGGTATAAAAGCAACGGTGAATAAAACTGCTAGTGCTCTGGAACGAATCTAGGTAGTAGCACCCAAGTATACTCATAGTCATGAGTTTCTTCACTGCCGTGTACTCAAAAATTTCAGGAATGCCAAATTCGATTAATATTTTTGATGACAGTAAAAATTATTAAATCGTGAGTCTTACGAATTTTTAACTTCAAGTATAACTGACATATTAGTTTCAGGTGTGCAACATGATTTGATGTCTGTATATATCATGAACCGATCACCACAAAAATCTAGTTAACATCTGTCACCATATATAGTTATAAAAGTTTTTTTTCTGGTAAAGAAAACTTTAAGATCTACTCTCAGGGGGGCGCCTGGGTGGCTTAGTCGTTAAGCGTCTGTCTTCAGCTCGGGTCATGATCCCAGGGTCCTGGGATCGAGCCCCGCATCGGGCTCCCTGCTCGGCGGGAAGCCTGCTGCTTCTCCCTCTCCCACTCCCCCTGCTTGTGTTCCCTTTCTCGCTGTCTCTCTCTGTCAAATAAAAGTAAAAAAAAAAAAAAAACAACCTACTCTTAGCAACTTTCAAATATGCAATACGGTATTATTAACTACCGTCACACACCACACATTACCTTCCTATGGGTCTTTTACTTATTTTTTTAAAAGATTTTATTTAACCTGACAGAGACAGGGAGAGAGGGAACATAAGCCAGGGGAGTGGGAGAGGGAGAAACAGGCTTCCCACCGAGCAGGGAGCCCGATATGGGGCTCGATACCAGGACCCCGAGATCATGACCCGAGCCGAAGGCAAGACGCTTAACAACTGAACCACCCAGGCGCCCCGAGTCTTTATTTTATACTGAAGTTTGTACCTCTTGATCACCTTCACCTATTTTACCAACCCCCAACACGCCTCCCTACCCCTCCCTGGCAACCACCCGATCTGTTTTCTGTATCTATGCGTTTTTGTTTGTTCACTGGTTTTTTTAGATTGCACTGTAAGTGATGTTATGTGGTATTTGTGTTTCTTACTGCACTTAGCATAACACCCTCAAGTTCCACTCACGTTGTCACAACAGATTTCCTTCTTTTTAATGGCTAAGTAGTAGTGCAGCATGTGCACACACAGTGCATGTGTCTGTGTGTATCTCACTTCCTCTTGACCCATTCATCCATCCATGGACACTGAGGTTGCCTCTTGTAAATAATGCTGCCATGACCAGGAGAGCACAGACATCTTTTCAAATCTGTGCTTTCATTTTCTTTGAATAAATACCCAGAAGTGGAATTACTGGATCGTGGGGTAGTGCTATTTTTAACGTTTTGAGAAACCCCTATACTGCTTTCCACCGCGTCTGCACCAATTAGCATTCCCACCAACAGTGGACAAGGGTTCCCTTTTCCCGCATCCTCGCCAGCATCCTCGCCAACATTCGGTATTTCTTGTCCTTTGATAACAGCCATTCTGACAGGTGTGAGGTGGTAATCTCACTGTGGTTTTTATTTAAATTTCCCTGGTGATTAGTGATACTGAGCACCTTTTCAGCTGTCTGTTGGCCATCTGCAGGTCGTCTTTGAAAAAAACCTCGATTCAGATCCTCTGCCCATTTGTTAATCAGATTGGGTTTTTTTTTTTTTTTTTTTTTTTGCTATTGAGTTGTAGGAATTCATTTCATTTTACATACTACACCGTCATCGAATACATGATTTCCAAATATTTTCTCCTATTCCAGAGGCTGCCTTCTTGGTGTGGTGATGGTTTTCTTTACCATGTGGAAGCTCTGAAGTTTGACGTAGTCCTATTTGTTTATTTTCACTTTTGTAGCCAAGGCCTTTGGAGTCAGTTCCAAAGAAATTACTGCCAACACCCATGTCAAAGAACTTACTGTTTTCTTCCAGGAGTTTCAGGATTTCTGGTCTTATATTGGTCTTTAATCCATTTTGAGCTGATTTTTCTGTTTGCTGTAAGCTTGTGGTCCAGTTTCAATTCTTTGCATGAGGCTGTCCAGTTTTTCCAGCACCATTTACTGTAGAGACCATCCTTTCTTCACCGTTTATTCTTACCTCTTGTGTCACAAAGCAACTCACCATAGATACATGGGTTTATTTCTGGGCTATTTTGTTCCACTAATGCATGTGTCTGCTTTTATGTCAATACCCTGTTTTGATTAATATAGTTTTGTGATATAGCTTGAAATCAGGGAGCGTGATGCCTTCAGCTTTTTCTTTCTCAAGATTGCTTTGGCTATTTGGTATCTTTTGTGGCCCCATAAATTTTTAGGATTCTTCTAATTCCGAAAAATGCTGCTGGAAATGGACTGGAATTCCACTGAATCTATCGACTGCTTTGGGTAACATGGACACTTTAACAATATCAATTCTTTAAATCCATGAGCACAGAAAATCTTTTATTTGTGTCAAATTTAATTTCTTCAGTGTGTTATGGTTTTCAGTATACAGGTCTTTCACCTCCTTGGTCAAATTTATTCCTAAGCATTTTCTTTTTGGTGCAATTTTATAAATGGGACTGTTTTCTTAATCTTTGAGTGTGTTGTTAGTATATGAAAATGCAACCGATTTTTATGACAATTTTGTACCCTGCAACTTTACTGAATTTGTTGATTAGTGTTACAAGTTTCTTTTGGTGGAGTATTTACGGTTTTCTAGGTAAAATCCTGTCATCCACAACTAGTGCTGGTTTTACCTCTTTCCAGTTTAGATGCCTTTTATTTCTCTTTCTTGCCTACTCTGCTCTGCTCAGAAATCCTAATTTCTAACACTCTGCTGAATAAAGGTGGGGAGAGTAGGCATCCTGGTCTTGATCCTGATGTTAAAGGAAAATTTCAGCTTTTCACTGTTGAGTATAAGGTTATACTTACATACATAAGTGGAGGGGGTTGATTTGTCATGTATGGTCTTGATTATATTGAACTATGTTCCCTCTTTGCCCATATTGTTGAGTTTTTATTAAACATGGATGTTGTATTTTGTCAAA